GTAGGCGAGTGAGAGTGATTTTGTAGGCGTGTGAGAGTAATTTTGTAGGGGTGTGAGAGTAATTTTGTAGGCGTGTGAGAGTAATTTTGTAGGCGTGTGAGAGTAATTTTGTAGGCGTGTGAGAGTGATTTTGCAGGCGTGTGAGAGTGATTTTGCAGGCGTGTGGAGTAATTTTGTAGGCGTGTGAGAGTAATTTTGTAACGTGCAGGTAGAATGATTTTATTCCCTCCCTAAATAGTGGTAAGAACGTTATAGGTTGGAGAGGGCCGGTCGTGGTTTATTAGTTAAGAGTGCCGCGCTGTGTCTAGGGTTCGAGACGTGATATGCCGTTAAGCCCGCTTTACACTTTCAGCAATTATAACCATGAAATTCAGCCCCGCCATTCGGTTAAAAGTAGTCTTTTGGCGGCGGATGCTACTAAATGGTTTCCTCCCTATTCGTCAGCAGTTCTAAATTTGGGATGGAGTCTTGGTGATCTCTAATCTGGACTTTTAGTCAACGTGTCACATAAGGTGTCACCGTTCAGGTTTAAAATACCAAATGCTTCAATGTTTAGAACAAATACTAACAGTGGCATGACTAAGATTTGTCCTATGCAGCAATCATTTTTCTAATTTAACGTCCGGTGTATGATCATCGCTTTCTCGAATGACCCAGGTAAACAGTTGCATTTGTAACCTGGTAAATAATAAAAAAAAGGCCTGCACACCTGGTGGTTTTTAAAACTCTCCGCCTGAGGACCATTTTGACTGAGAAAGAAAATAGATTGTTACGAGTTTTTACATGAAAGGATATTTACTTCTGTGACAATACATGTATTTTTACTCTTTTGACCAAAAGAATAAAATATTTTTGTCAAAATAAACTACAAATTGTGGAACACAATTTTAAAAAATATTATACGATCAAATATTGAATACCGATTTCCTGAAATCTCTTTGAAATCACGAGTGGAAATTAGAAAGAAAAAAAATGACGATACCTTTCACACAGACGGAGTGTCCAGCTAGCAATGATCCATAGGGACACCATAAAGACTAGCAACACAGTTCCTGGACATATCGTCATCAAGGTCTTCAGTACGAACCTGGTGTTGAAGTTGATGCGATTAAGGGCACCAATACTTCTGGATGAAGCATCCGTAAAGAGTTTGCTGTGCAGCAACATGACCCGACAGATGAGGTAGAGACGAAGAAACATGGGAAGCGATAATGTCACATCAATGGGGACTTTAGTGGACTCAACTCGACCCCCGTGGTTAGATAGTTTAGTGGTCCACATGAAGTAATACTCCCCAGGCACTGGATGCACACCACAGATTGTTAGTTCTAGAAGGATTAGAGTTATTCTTTCCCATGTCATTGCTATCCTCCAGTCATCAGCACAGTTGTCGATCAGGAAGAGCTATCCAAAAATAAGTTAAAAAATGGCCATTAAACTAAATGAATCATGCTGAAACCTAATAAAGCCTAAACATGATCTACAAGTACGTGACGTGAGGAGACAAATCTAAAGAGTTGGAGAGTGACGTCAATACTTAACAAAACAAAAAACAGGGAAAATCAACTTAACATGAGGTTAATGACAAAGAAGACTAAAGAATAGATACTGTGTGAAACCTTTTGTAAATAAGGCATTGCGCGCAGAAGTTCGGGTGAATTATCTTTTCAACTCCTTCAAGCAATAAAGCGAATTTAATACAAGATCCAAAGAAAGTTAGATAAGAATACATCTCTTAATAGGACAAAAATCTCATTTTTAGCACTTGCTAATACTGAAAAGATAAAAAGAAACGGATGTTAATGATAATGACTAAATCCCTAAGCTAAAGAAACATGATAATGACTAAATCCCTAAGCTAAAGTAACATGATAATCACTAAATCCTTAAATTAAAGTAACATGGTAACTTCGTGTTTGACTAAACATTTATAAGCTTTCCAACTCATTAAGTGAGTCCCGAAGCAAATCTCGAAACACTTAAGCCTACAACAGTGGTTAAGTACATGCAAATTAATAGAGGGATTTCAAAAATAAATTGTTTTTAATCTAAACATTGTCGCGTTTGACGAAAATTCGCTGTAACAGCACGCACGTCACAAAGAAGGTAGAAAGTGGTAAATAGTTGTACCGACGTTTTCAACTATCAGTAACGTACATACGGTAGCAGTGAATACCCATTAAAATACTAAAGGATAGGAAACACGCCTGTTTGTTTCTTATTAAGTGAACATAAAGCTGCACAAAGGGCTATCTGTGCTGCGGCCTCTATCTGGATCCAACCCCGAATATAATATTTTAGCGTTTTAAGTCCTCAAGTTTTACTGCTGGGCCACAGGGAAGAGGTGGGGGAGAGAACATTTTGGACTGGTTAAGTTTTAATTTAAATGTGTATCGTAACCTGTTTGTTAATGGGAATTTCTTTTCTTTTTTTCTCACGTCTTGCTGAATATTATTACAAGCGAATATCATAGCTCTGCAGGGGCACTATATAAATTAAATAATAATAATATGATGTGTTTTCCTCTCGAAGCTCTCTCCCCCCCTTCGTGGATGATTCAGAAATAAGTTGAGGGTTCTAATATTATATTCTGGGTTCTTTTCATGCGTTGGGCACAATGTAAATAGTCCATTGTGGAGGTTTGTGATTAAAAGAAATAAGCAAACAAGCAACCAATCAAAACGATTAGGAAAACATAACATTAATGAAGGATAATTTTCTTTCACTGAAACATTTATATACCCGACGCTGTTTTATTTTTAAATTTAGTGAGTAATCACCATGTTTTATTATGATACGTGAGAGAATTTACTTTAGAGACATACGAATCATATATTGTCAAGTTAAACTTTTCCCATTTACGTTTACCGTTAAGAAAAATATGTTTAATATAACGAAAACAACCAGGCCCGAATTTAAGAAAATTTGGTAAGCCGATAATTTGACTTGAAAAACCTAATAATTTATTTTCTAAGTTAATTTACTGGAATAATTTAGCTGTCTTAAGTTAGGTACAACCCAAAACAAAAGAATTATTTATCATTATTCACAGGAGACATTACTTAACTGCTCGAGTTTAATCTCCATTAAGTCCAACTGTAATAGAATTCCTACAAAAGTTTTATTTAAGGGAATTTAGCCAAAAAATCTGTAATTAATGCTACAAACAATCAGTTCTCTATGTGGTTCAGAATAATTCAGATTAAAAAATACACATCAAAAAGTAAAAGTTGTTTGTCAGAGATGATTACGTATTCTTCTCACAGGGCTGTGAAAATATGAAATATTTGTATTTCACTAAAGAAAGGTGGAATTACGTAAATATAATTCATTAGAAAATTTAGTTAAAAGGTTTACTGAAAACAGGAATGTCAAAAGCGTTATGAGAAAATTAATTTGCAATTAACTTTCGATTTCTAACCATAACTAATATCAAATAGAAAACAAACATTACGCCCGAGAAATAAACAATCTCTGAATATTTTGGTGTTTTTTTTTGTTTTTGTAATTAAGCATAAAGCTACACAATGGACTATCTGTGCTCTGCCCACCACAGCTATCGAAACCCGGTTTCTAGCGTTGTGAGTCCGCAGGCATACCGATGTGCCACTGGGGGGGGGGGCTTTCCCATACGAAAAACACCCGTCCTTTCCAAACACCAAAGCCCCCAGTAGCACAGCGGTATGTCTGCGGACTCACAACGCTAGAAACCGGGTTTCGATAGCCGTGATGGGCAGAGCACAGACAGCCCACTGTGTAGCTTTGTGCTTAACTACCGACTAACAACAAACTAACAAAGTATGGGAAAAGCTTTTCAAGAATAGCTAGATAGAAAAAAACAACACAGAATAGGAACCATTTTAAAAGTCATTAGTGTGTTAAGAAATCAGGAAATTACCAGACTGCAAGAATAAGATGGAACACCACAGTTTCTTGTCTTCGCACAACATTCGTGACTTAACGCTACCGCTCCATCATGTTTTAACCAAAGTGGAACAATTTCCGCAAACGATGAGCTCACAAATTTCTAATTATGAAAAAAATATGCATTATCCTTACCATATTAAATTATTTTGGCGCTTTTTTGTTCATTTCAGCCTGAAGCAATAAACTTCTGTAGACGTGGAACCAATAGCAACAAAAGTTTTATACGTTGCATATCAAACACTTCGAGTAATCAAACAGATAAATTACAGAAGAATAGGAGCTACCTGTAAATAGGTGTCCCCAAGTTTAAACTGATAGACTAAAGAAAAGGCAGCTAGTCAACAGCACCTACCGCTAATGTTTGAACTACTCTTGTCTGAGTGAGTAGTGGGATTTGATTGTCATTCTTACAACGCACTCATGGTCCCAAAATGTTGAACGCATTTTTTTTTTTGCGGCCATGGAACTCGGACCATGAACTAGAATATTCACAAATTGGCCAGGGCAAGCTAACCATAAGGCCGCGTCCTGTCCAATCAAGGTGAGAGATGGAGGGCGCTATATGTGTACATATTTCGCATTTTGGATGTTTGTTTATAAGAGATATTATTATACTGTTTTTATTATGTGAAGTAAGCATTTCAGTTTAGGAATGCATCACGAATTCTCAACAAGAAACTAATAAAGATTAAAATATATAGCATGAATATGCCCACATTGCCTTAGGCAGGTGTCCCTAAAGAAACGGTATCTTATTTCAGATTACAAGAAACAAAAGTACACTAATGATGTTAAGGTTGTGTGGAACTAGACGTCACGTATCAATGTTCTTCCCGCTAATTTTATAATAAGTTGTTTTCAAGCATATTGGGTTACCATACATGAAAAGTAAAAAATGAAAACGTTTTTGCGATAATGAAAGTCTTAACTAGTTGTTTCAGCCGACTAGTTTTGGTAACACAGTTTGTTAATACCTGTGGCCTGGTATTATCATACGCAAGAACATCCGCTAGCAGGGAACAAAAATTGACCTTTGACCTATTAGCACGATCAGTGGTCTGCCTCAGTTGTACTCGTATCAAGAGTTGTATGAAAATAAATTCCTGTATCTTTCTAAACATCACATATAGTTGATAGTTCAAAATATTAGGTCATCAAGAAATTAATATCGCATATTTTTAGATAAGAAAAACTCGAACAACTTATATATATCAAAACAAAACATTCATTAAATGAAATAGTCTCCAGTCTTATCAATGATGCTTTTCCATTTTACAAGCAGGCTGTTAATGCCCTGATTAAAGAAATCATTGGCTTTGAAGTAAAAAACATGTCGATGTCCTCTTTAAGACCTTTCACATCTGCATACGTCTTCCCATTAAAGTGGTGTTGCAGCGAACGAAAAAGATAGTAATCTGGTGGTGCCATATCTGGAGAATATGGTGGG